GTCTAACTGCAAGAGATGAGATGTGAATGGAGGGAGATAGGAGGCTTCTTGGGAGCACAAAGAGCTGCAGGGAGCAGGAAGGTGGAAGGCTATTGGCATTTCATTACTCCTGTGACACAGGAGTGAGAAGTTGGTGGTTTTACCTAAAGAGAAGGTTGCTTTGCTTGCCTTGCACAGATTTAAATTGCCACAGAGCACTGGGAACATCCAAAGAGTAAGTTGACAGGAAAAGATGTTAGATGAACTCACAGGAGGGAAAAAAAAAGACCCATGGAGAGTTGTTAAACACGAGTTATATGTGTGTATATACATATATATGTATATACACACGTATGTATGTATATACACACACATAAATATGGTGCAGGGTGTTCCTGAACTGCTAATTCTTGGAAGCTAGGTGGTTTTATAGCGGAAAAAATAGTACTCTAAATTTGCCATATTTTTCAATTTTTTTCTTTCACGGTTGATGGCAGCTGCCACAGACTTGAGACTGGCGATTCCATCATTGCCTTGCCTGCATGGCTGCTCTAACCCTTCAAAGAACTGGTGAGAAAGGAATTTCTGTATCTTTTCAAATGTTATCAGTTATTCAGACTGCATCTCTCTCTAACTTGTGTGTGTGTATGTTTAAAGAAACGTTTCACCTACAGAGTGAGGTGGTCATAAAAATAAATTCTAATGAAATTCTAATGGAGACCACCTGTAGACACGTTTGTGTCTTGTAGAGAAAAGGTTTTAACCTGAACTAAGAGGCTGTTTGGACATGTTTACAGCATCTTTGAGGCCAGAGATTAATGAAGGGGGAATAAGGGCAGGAAGAGTGGTCTGTGGGAGGGTGGCAATACAGAGGGAAAAGGGCGGGGGGAAAGAACACGTGGGGAAAGGCACCCTGAAAGGACTTGAGTTTGGGCATTTCCAGGATATGTGAAGTGATCTGAGTGCGTGTTAGTAACAGAGACTTGGGAGGAACAGGAAGAAAAAGATTAAAGGAACTGTAAAAGGATTCAATCTTTGTAGCCTCATGTGAGCGTTGCCAGCACGATCTGCAGCTCTGGTGCACTTATTTACATTCCAGCAAAACTGGAGCGATTCCATGGTAGTCAATGGAGCAGCTCTGGTGCAGACGTAGGTGGCTCAGGCCTGTTTGGAGGATAAGGCTTGTGGGCTTGGGCCAGGACTGATGTTTGTGTTTTTCCTAAGGGGAGTGTTAACCCATCCAGTGCTCGAGGAGCCTGAGGTTTGGGCGGCAGCAGAAGGAAACCTGCACCTGTGTGCCAGGACCAGGATCCCTGGGAGACGTTGCAGAAAAGGTAGAAAAGCTCCTCACAGAAATTTAGGTCTTCTGCTTCTTTGGGCAGCCTTTTCACAGCCTTCAAAAGCCCATCATGTATTCTTTATGATTTCTTCTTGTGTGCTGGCATGAGACAGCTCCTGAGAGAAGTGACTAAAACGCCACAGTCTCTGAGTGAAAAAGCCAGTGACGAATTCAGAAGTGTCCGTGCTGACCCCGAGCGCTGGCGCTGCGAGCTCGCGTGCCTGGGCAAGGGGACCTCCCGGCACCAGGCTGAGCCCAGTGCCGGCTCCTCTTGGTAGCAGCTCCTGTGCCTCTGTGAGAAGCCAGTGGGATTAATACTGCTAGGCTACGTGGTTCCTTCAGCTATTTTTATTGACCTGTGAATATATCTCCTGTATAATTAATTACAACTTTAGTGTCTCAGTCTTGTGATCTTCCCTTGAAGCCAGTGGGAAATTCTGCTAGGGTGAGGAGTGCAGGCCTGGCCTCTGCTTAGCCTTTATTCTTTTCCATTGCAACACAATTAACCTTTTCATTAGTAGAGGACTGTTCCAAATAAGCAAACTTCTCAATGTGTATTACTGAGCTGTTTCAAGCTGTCTCTTGCCTTGGAACAAAACATCTTTGTTCCAGCCATGCATGACATTTGGAGACCTATTTATACAGTGTGTCAGCTCCATTTGTTTTCTTCATCCTGATATTTTCCTCTGTATTTTTGGTTAGCCATCCAGATTGCAAGGAGCGAGGCTGCTTCTGGTTTCCTCCTGCTCTGTGAAGGAGCCCAGCACTGGCTGCCTTTGTCCTTTCTTCCCTTTAGTGGGCAAGGGTGAAATAACCCAACTTCAAACAAAGTTTTGATTATTTCATCCTTATTTCATCCATTCTCCAGYGTGTCTCACAATGCAAGGCAGTTGTGGGCATGGAGCTTCCTGGGAGTTTGCAGAAGGACCTGATATTATTGCAAATTTCACTGTAGCGCCCTTGCCAGCAAAATGTCCAGGATGTGTCAACACACATGCACTCCTGCAAAATATTCTGCATTCCCCTGCAGCTATTCATGATATATCCTGAGCCTCTAATCATCCTCTCTTGCCTGATAGCACAATTCTAACYGGAGAAAAAACAAAAMCAAAAAAACCCCAAGAAACAGAGCRAAACAACAACAACAAAAACCTTATCAAGATCTCCAGTAATTGAACTTATGTCCTCTTGATTTTAGGATTAAATAAGTGTAAATATTTATGAGGAGTTTGGTCCAAAGTCTTCCCTGCAAATAATTTCCTCAGACTAGACCCTCTTCTGCTCTTTCCAGGGCAGAGCCACGGTCGTGCTGTCCCTGCTACATACACAGCAATGCAATGTCTCTGGGTGTCAGCAATGCCTAGTGACAAATGGGAGTTCGTTAGGTCCTTTATATTTCTTTTATGCTTACACAATCTGACAGCAGAACATTTCAAGCTGCTTTAGTGCATGCAAGGTGCTAGAGAAATATTGCAATCCTGAACTCTCACCAGAAAACAAGGCTGCAAGTGCCAGCACAGCCGTGGCAAGGTCAAGATTAAAGTGATGATATCGACTGCTCTGTCTGATGTTTTCCTCACATGGAAGAYTGGGGTAGGAGGACATAACAGCTTCATGCAAACAAATCTGCTCCTGCTCCCTATTACCCAGCTCAATGTGAGCTTCCACATTGTGCTGGTGCTTCCTGCTCCATGTAAGAGGAGCTGGGAAGAGCAGCATTTCATCTTCAGAGCATCTCCCAGCTACATCTTATGTAGACGTGCACTGTAGCTATTTGGGAAGTGCGTGAGCTCTGCTAACTGCGAAGCAGCAGGTCCTTTTAGTGCCAACACTTAATRCGAGCCACATTCAAGCAGACCGCGATCGGCGGCCCTTCTGCCTGGCAAGGCGTGCGAGGAGCAACGCGCTTCCAGAGGCAGCCCCAGCCTTGCTCCGAGTCCGAGGGGCTGGGCTAGAGCTGCGTGCATGGTTCGTAAATGAAACCAAGGCATCCATATGCTGTGCATTAAAAGGAAAAGTGTTTGATCTGGAATGAGAGCTCGGAGCCTCCAGCTYGCTGCTCAGGCACTCACCCTTCCTTTCCTTAGCTGTTTCTAGGAGTGTGCAGAGTCCAGCGTCAAAACTGGTAACTCTGCATGTGGTTTTCGACTCTGTGATGGGAACTATAGCATTTAACACTAAAGACTTGAGAAATATTACTAGCAACAGCCACAAAAACCTACTTTCATCTTTTCCGTGATGGCAGAGGAAGAGTCTTCAAATGGTATTTTCCTATTCAAAAAAAAAGGAAAAATGACTGCCACGTGAATGGAATCTGGTTCAGCTCGTGTAACCTCTCTAAGAAAAGCAAAAGGCAAATCCCCTCTGAGGGGAGGGGAGGAACTGCAGCTGGGCATAGTCAAGGCCACTGCAGGGCTGCTGAGCCTGGCACGGGCAAGGGACAGCTCAGGTGACACCAGGATTCAAGCCTGCCCGAGTCCTTTACTGAGTCCTCACCACTGCAGATCCACTTCTCTGCCATCACACTGCCCGTTAATGTGTGTTTTGCTAAGGAGCTGCAGACCTCTCTGACGTGTGTTAAAGCAGGAGGGAGACGGAAGAGGAGAGGCCCGCTGTTCCCCAGCGTTATCCCGTGTGTGTTGGCGACAGGGCGATGCTGCAGCTCCAAAGCGCTGGGGGAACAGGGAGGAAGCACAAGGGACAGCCAGGTAACAATAGAAATGAGTTTTATTTCGTAAAAAGTTATAAAATGAATATTGTACAAAAATAAAGTCTGTAGAGAACTTTGGTTGATTAACAGAAATGACTGAGACATAAATTGTAGGTGAAGTAAAAAACTCCAGAGAAGCACACTCCTGTCTTCAATAAAGTTAAAAAAAATCACAAACTTTACCCTTTTGTGTTTTGAACATAGTGATCTGCTATGGTCTTGCCGTGCACGGGGGCTACACAGGATGGAGGTAGCCTTGTGCCTTGGCGGGGCTCCAGGACAAGGCTGGCTCAGTGACACCCATCGTCCTTGTAAAGCAGCAGGTTTKGGGGCTGGGTTATATCTTTTTATGTGTCTTGTGAACTTTCTGATGATGACAGCCTTCCTCTGTGGTACCTGGAGGGGTCTGGGGCAAAATATGAAGAGTCCTTATGTGCTTGAAATAAAAGATGGGGCCAATTTTTTTTTAAGTGGATTTTTTTTCTTATTCTTTTTGTGGGAGTTGATGCCTCAGTTCAGCTGTCAGAAATATCTAGTGACCTGCACTGCTGCTATCCTTCAGGAGATAAATCTCCTGCCTGAGAGCTTGCACTAAGGGTTGGATATTAATGCTTTTGCTGTAGGACCTCCCTCATCATTAAGAAATGTTCTAGAGAGAAATTCAGGCTGTTCTTCTGGGTGGATATGATCCCGTAATGTTTCAGCAAATTATACAAAACACTTTGGTTATGCAACACAATTGTTTACCTGCAGGTTACGTTAAATCCAGGACTAACTAATAAGAGGGATTTAACCTTTCCTCTATGAAAGTATGAAAGGAAAAGCTTAAATAAATATAACAAGAAATTATAAAGTTAAATGTGATTAATTTCCATTTGTCAATACTTATATGAGGTCAGTTGGTAAAAAAAAAAAGTGTGAAAAGAATGTGGCTACATTTAAAATATGACTAGAATTATTTTTTCTAACAAATTGCTAATGATGAGCCAAGTCCTGTAACCTTCACTTGTGCAGAGCCCTTTTGTGTCCTGTACTTGTATGACCGTAGTGATTTTCAAAATTATAAGTAAAGAAGAGGAAGGGCTGCAGACCTTGGTTCTACATTTTGTGAACATAACCAGAAATTTGTTTAAAAGAAAAAAAAAGGTAAAGTAAGTGATTTTTTTGCATTCAAGTTAATACTTTCAAAAGCATGGACCGTTGTTCCCAACTTGTCTCTCTGTATCTTCCCAGCACCTTCTACTTTGGCACCTTTGAAAAGAAACTTCAATAAATAAGGAAAGGAGACTCATTACTGACTGTAATAAATAACAATAACTTAATCTTAATAAATATCTTATGTATATTTATGTCTCTGAACGGATGCATTGCATCAAGTAGTCTCTGCTCACTCACAATGACCAAATATAAATGTAGTTCTGTAAGTGACATCAGTCCTTTGTAAACCAAAAGAAACATGTTTTGTGTAGGCCAGGACTTGCTATTTCTCTTTAGTAGGAAGAAGTGCTTAAAAACTCAACTTCTTTTCATAGGTAGCAGAAGAACGAAATCCTACACTTGACTGTTCTGAAGAAATATGAGATGGAAATAACCAGACTTAACCAGTAAGTGGAAACGTTTTGCTTTCTGTTGGTACTGGCCCTAAAGACCTTGAGCCTATGAATTTTGATATTTGCCTGATATCACCTTATTTACGAGATTGATCGTGTTATAATTTAAAGCTGTCCTAAGTGCTCAGGAGCTGCCCTCCAAGGAACAGCAGGGAAGCTGGTGGCACAGCCGGCGGGAGAGCTTGCTCCTTGGGGGAGCTCCCCAGGACGGATGGTGAAAGCTACAACGCAACGTGGCAGTGAAGGGTTGTGTTTTTAAGCACATTCCTCACGGATCCAAGTCTCACCGATGGCAGACTGGGTCAAACAGGAAGGGGAGCGCACACGCCATCCAGCCGTCAGGAACACCACCTGAATTTTTATTAACTTTCTCATCGGATTTAAAGAGCCTCCGTTTTTCTACACTGCCTCATACCCCACTGGGCTCCCATGACCACTTGTTCTGTGTTCTTGGTCCTCTCTTCTCCATTCTGAACAGGTGTTTCCTTGGGAACCTTGGTCCCTCTCTTTGCATTGTAGCAGGAATGCAATACTGGAGCAATCTCCAAAGCACAATAGTCAGACGCATCCACACCTTTTTGCGGAATGTTTTTTCAGTATATGGTAAACCAAGTTATCGTCCAAAAATGACAGGTCATCATCAAAGGCTGTGGGTCTGCAACAAGCTTGCCGCACTTTGTCATTAACTAGTTTTTTCTTTCTGGTTAAATTTTTTAAAATTTTGTCATACGTGGTCTCGGCTGCATCACAAGATCCACTGCAATACCGGAAAATTAGCTCTTCTTTGGTTTCATATCCCAAATCCAAGTCAGTCACGTTTAAATGTAATTCTGTTAAGACACATCCTCGATTTTTGCCCTTATGATTCCTCCTTCCTTTTTTGCTGGAATTCTCTATGTTTGTGGCTGCATTTTGCCGATTTCTCTCCCGCCTAGAAAAAATCGGAGTTTGTTTATCTGGCGACCTCCTCAGTCTTTTAATAGTGGCTTGAATAAAGTCCACTACCTCATCAAACTGATCTGGATAATCCTCAGGCATATTAGCTGTTTGGGGAAAAGAAAAAATAATTTGTCATATGTCGATGGTCATCAAGGGAAATTTGGCAATTTGTGTTTCARAAACATTAGATGCATGCAAGCTGCCCGTGACTTCAGAGAGCATCCCCAAAATCGGAAATAATGGAATGGTTCAGATCAGAATGGAAACCTACTGAGAAACAAAGTAATGATATATATATATTATACATTATATATATATAGATATATATATTATACATATATATATATATGCATTGATGTAGGCATCTCTCGCTTACACTTGGTAGCATTCAGGCAAGACTTTCAATATTGAATGAGCCCTGTCAAAACTGAGGAAAAAAAAACATGAGTGGATGAACCAATTGTAGAAAGGTTGGGCAGGCACTTCCTAGCAAAGCAGCAAGTGAATGAGGTTTCTTTGATACCTTTCTCTGATTCTCTGATTCTAATTGCTAATTGTTGTCTCTCTAAACCTGCAGTGCTAAAGCCACCTATCAATAAGTTGCTCAGTTTGCACAAGATCCAGCTATGGTCCTTAAAAGCAAGAAGAGCTGGTAAGAAGGAGATGGGAGATTGTTACAGGGAAACTAAACCTACAGATGGAGTCTTGTCTGAAACCTTCAGCCACCTTTCAACCTAGGCCTGCTGCAGTACTAGTGTCATGAAGGAAATAATCCTTGCCCACCTAAGAATGGAGAAATGAAATTATGGGTTACCCTTAAAGGTAATTACCCAACTAGGCATCTACCGCTTGCATTGTGTGCAATTCAGGCACAAAAATGTTATCTCTAACTCAACAGTAATATATGTAGGAGTCTATCCTGGTTACTAATATTAGTTGTAGAGTCCAAGCATTGTCCTGCCCAAGTGGATCTGAGGACACACTGGACACTAGATAAAGAGGAAGAGGGGTCTTTGTTGTTGAAGGTGCCCCATCTCAGAGCCCGCCAGCACCCTGGTCTGTGCATGATCACTACGCCAGCTGCACCAAGGCAGCTAAAGTTGGGAGATCCTTCTGTTATGTGAGTACTTATGTTTTTTAAGGCACAGGAGATGCCATAAAGGAGGCCTATGTGATGGTGGTAAAGCAGGCACGTGGCTGTCAACATTAAGCATGGCAGAAGCAACAGGGAAAAAAGTAGATCAAATAAYGAAGCTGACTAGAGAAGCTCTAGTTACATACACAGGCTTGCCACAGACAGAAGGCAGGGCTCTATCTCTCTGTGGCTCTAACACAACCTGTGCAAGAAACWGGCCAAGCTGTAGTCTGGAATGAGGCATGTGTTCAAGTCCAGGTGACCCTAACCTGYGTGACCTGAAGGGGTGTGAGTGGCCAACAAGGCTAATGGAGTTGGGGATCCCTGCGCAGCTGTGGCAGCATCAGGCCACTCAGGCCACTTGAGAGGTTCACGAAGAGAGATGTCAGATCAACAAGTATGATGAATGTCAACTTTCATTCTTTAGTGCCAAAAAGGGAAAGTTTTTAGGGGGAGAGAATATCCCCCTGGGAATCCGTATCTGTCAAAAACATATCTGAAGTGACTCCTGGTATCTGTGGACTATATCACTGGAGGAGACACAAGGCACATAGGTGGCATTAGGGAATGGTGGGCACAGAGCACCTGATCGGTGAAACCTATTGGACCTATTGACTCCCAACAATTCCTGTTCACCTACAACCATGTGTGTTACAGGACTATGCACTTACATAGCGTTGACTACAGTGGTAGCTGTGCTGTTAGGTGAGCCAGTGAGCCTTGCATTTTGCTGTAAGCAATCRCATCCTCTTGGAGGCCCAAGCTAGCCACCATCAATGCAAGGGTGCACTTTTTGGCACCTTCCAGCTGGACTTCAGATATGCCCCAAATTCACTTTTGTAACTTAGCGATATGAGAGGAACCTCTAGCCTCTGCAATCAGCCAACCTCTGGCTGGTACAACACTGACCTGTTGCTCAGTCTCACAAAGCTGARTTTCATCACACACATAATGTAGTGGCCTACACTTCTGGTGAAGCAACAAGTGTCAGCCCGACCCAGCAACCACTGGATCCTGMACTCAAGCACTGGGACTCCTGTTGGTGATGGGACGTGGCTTGGTGCTAATCCCCTGCTGATTAACAAAGTGCAGTTGTCAACGTGACTATAAGCTAACTAAGACTAGCTTTGAAAGAAACCTTGAGAGCCTGGGTTGAAGGTGAGTTTAGCAGCAGGCTTGCAGCTCAGGGAAGTACAAGATACCAGTCGTGACTCAGCAAAGACATTTAGTTGTCTGAAACCATGGGTGCAAAGCCTGAGGGACTGAAATGAAAAGCTGCAGAAAACTGCTGAACTAGGGCCCTGGGCAACCAAGGATAAGTAAAAATGCTAGAGGCAATGCAAGGTGTGATGGGTTGAAACAAGACACTAGAGGCGAGTGCTAAGAAACCAACAGAAATCACACATGAATAAGCAATAACCACTGACCATGGACTAAGGACTGTGAAAGGCTCAGAGACAGCAGGGAGGGTGGAGAAGACTGACAGCGGGACCACCCCTGTCTGACAGGCAGTTGGTAGATGTGTGGCCGGGATGCTGAGAGACCTCCCCCCTCGCAGCCACCACCCGATGAGCTCTCACTTGTGGTAAGTAATGCTGGGATTAAAAAGCTACGAGCCAGGGAACATCAGCGCGCTGATAGGGACTGCCTTGGCATTGAATGCTGGTATGTAACCTGAATACAGCCAATTCATCGAGTGCCACGATCTGTTTTACTTAGTCACATGCTCCTCTCTGTCTCAAGCACCATTTAAAAACCATTTATAGTCTCAGAACGAAGGTCAGCAGGCTGGCAGCTTCGCTCCTGCAACACATTGYGCTGCGTGCATCGGCACGGACTTGCCTACACAGCAGACTGCTTGCTTTGGGGCTTCCACACACTAGTGAAAAGCACGTATTATTTGCCATACTTATAAAAATGCACGTGTGTGTGTGTTAAACACACACATATGCATATATTTTTTTTTTTTTCCCAAAACAACTAATTTACTGACAACACTTCTGGTGGAGAAGCTGTGAGAACAAACATACAACAGAATCCAGTGAAGCTGTATGAAGTGCTAGCAGAAAATGCTCAGATAGTAATAAGAGCAGTATTTAAAAAAAAAGAATAGTACTGAGCCATGGCCTCTTTCCCTTGGCTCCAGGGTGGAAGAATTAGAAATTCAAAATATGAAAAAAAGAGAGAGAATAGTATAGTATAATGCAATATAGCATAGCCCACAGCGGTTGCTCAGTATAGGTTAGTGAAGGTTGGCTCACGCATATGTGAGTGCAATACACTCCAGAGTATGCACTCCCTGAGGAAGGGATGGTACATACAGGAAATGTAACATCCTTCTCCAGGAGGCAAACATATTTTCCTGCATGGGAAAGGACCTAATAGACTCCACCAGGTGAGCAGGAACTGAGACCTTGAGACAACCCCATCAGCTATAGAATAGTCCCATGAACACTCACAAGAATGGCATAAAATCGTGAGGTTTTATTTGGGCTATACATCACAGTTTGAAAGTTGTTACCTAATTTGAGAATTCCCTGGGGAAAGCGCTGCTGAGAACACCCGTGCTAGGGGCTGGCATGCTGGTGCATGCACGTTTCAAATTGCAAACTCACATTGCAAATTCAAAGGGCAGTGGAGGCTTGCAGCACGTTAGGAAACAACTTCCCTGCTCCTCCCTGGGATGGAGAAGCCTCATTTCCATGTCCTGGAGCAGTCTCTGTGTTTCTATCCTGGAGATATCCTCCTCCAATGGGATCCTGTCCTTGTTAATGCTGAGTACCTGCCCATTGGGCTTATCCTTCCCATATTGTTAACCCCCTGGTTATGCTCTCTCTTTCCTCACGCCTCTCTCTTYCCAGGGATACACAAGTTTTGTGTTAACCCTACACAGAGCCCCTCTGGCAGGGCAGAGGGGCTCAGCATGCACTGGCTGGAGCTGTGGCAGGGGCACACATTGGGCTCCTGCTTGTCCCATCTTCCCTGCTCCTGCTCCTCTCCTCTCCCTCTTCATGCGCCCTGCTAAGCGTGTGACATCTYCAGCACCAGCTATAAACAGGCAGAGCATTTTCCTCTGGTGGCAACCAGTGGATCAGGCCCTTTCCTAGTACTGGGAGTACTGAAACCAGCGACTAAGGACAGAGGCTGGGACTGCTGTCTGTGCACTAGGCTGCTGCTTAGCACCTCTGAGCTGCTCTTGATCTGCCAGGAATTTCCCATAGGTCAGAAAAGGAATAAGAAAGCAAAGAAGGAAAGAATGAAGTGTCACAGGACTGGTGACAGCATGGTAGGAATTCAGATCAGTGACTGGGCTGGGAACTGAGCTGGTTAACATCAAGTGTCCAAACCTCCACAACTCAAACAACAACAAAAAAAGTCAGCAGACGTTTTAAAAATAAGAATATTCCTATCTTCTACTTGCTCTTCTGTACTTCTAGGGCACACTTGTGATACAAAATTTGGGTGCAGGAGCACCAGCACGTATGGCTGCACACTTCTGCAGGCAAACAGCGCTGGGTGCTCCCCGCTGATCTGCACAGGGCCAGTCTGAGCTCTGCTTCGTGGGGCGCACAGAAACGCGCCTTGTTCTGGGCACGTTCTCCACTGCAGCCCCCCAGAGCGTGCCCTCACATTTCCAATTAATTACAGACACCATGTGCCAGCAGGACCTGGATCTGATATGTCTGGCTTTTTAGAAGAATAAATTACATAATGTTCATATGGATCTTTTACATAACATAGGYCTAAACGAATATCCAAACCAAATTTGCCATGTTCTCAAGAAGATAATTTCCATTGAGGACTAATTTCTGTCTGTTCAAATGTGATCGAAATTATATTTTGTAAAACTAATCCTTTGATGTCACTAGCAATAGATTTTTTTAAAGCCAAATATACCCCCCGCAGTGGCTGCAACTCAGCATGGTAGAGCAAGAATCTCTTGGTTTGAACCTGACCACAAATTGATTT